CACTGAATCCTGAATTTTCTATGTTTAATAGAAAAATGCAATGCGGAGGGATGTGGGCACTTTTCGCCGAAATCAAACTGTTGACTCAGTTCCTGCTACAACTGAAATTGAAACACATAATATTTGCAGAAACAGTTTGAATTGGAACAGCGGCATGCTGCGTATTCTTGAGCCTGCGTACAACTAAGGACAGCATCGCTCTCAAAATGCATTACCCTATCAGAATTAAGAGAAGTACGGTGGTTAGGATGCATAGTTTAGTTATCAAATTTTCAAGAGTAGCGCACGGATATGGTTAGAATATTAAACAAATCTATAACTCATATGAATTACATTAGATGTTCAAGAATTAATATATATTACTAAACTTATTTCAGTCATAACTTTTTTTATGATTATTTTCATTTTAATTTTCAAAAATTTATTTTTATTTATACTTTTCTTTTTAATATTTTCTTATTATACATAGTTTAATATTGATAAATGTTTCATATGCCTTATAAGCTATTAACATAAAAATGTAGCGTAACATTTAGTAACAGGTAAACCATTACTTAATGAAATACTTTCATTTGCGCGTGCATGTGCACACACACACACGCACACATACCCCAATGTACAGTACTAACAACTACCGTTAGTTATACGCTTAACATTACCTCAACTTATGTTAAGCGCAGTTGAAAATTTTTCACTGTTAAGTTAACATAAAAACAACATAAAAAGCGATCAAAAAATAATTATATGTTTTTATTAAAAATAAAAATAAAAATTATACGACTTGAAAAACTGATATAATTTTTATTTAATTTTTAATAATTATTTATAATACTTTTAGCCAAAAATGAAGTTATGTGAATTATTATTTCTGTTATTGATTTTTTTTAAGTTAATTTTAGGAACACCATTTCTTTATTGCTTTTTCATTTGTATTATTAACTTAAAAAAAGCACGAATGTATTGTTTTAAAATACGGGCACTCATATGGGACACTCATCTGGGAAGAAACAAACAAACAACAGAATAACACTTTCGCACTAAACAGGTTACAAAGATTGGCGGGTGCCATGCGGACTTGTCCAACAGCATCCATGGAAGTTTTTTAAAACTCACACCCTTGCCGATATATATCGGATCCCAAGCAAAAAGGGCAGTTCTAAGTATGAAGAAAGGAAATATAATGGATAGCTGGCTCAATAGAAGGAAGCTCGAAAATCTTGCCAAGCAGCGTCTGGAACTTTCAATGCCAGGGGACACGATGAAACCTAAGTTCAGCTTTACTAAGCTTTTTAAAACTGAACTAAGCAAAAAAAAAAAAAGCTGGAAGGGCATCAATCAAACCTACCAGCTAACGAATAGCACAATCGCATGGTTCACTAACATCTCGCTTACGGAGGAAGGTGTCGGAGCGGGCATAGTCGGATCAGACAAGAAGCACTGGGAAGCGCTGGGGAAAAATACTAGGATCTATTAAACGGAATTTTACGCAATTTTAAAATGCGTACTCATTAATATTGGCAATTTTTGACCACCATAAGTTTGAGTTGTTTTTACGTTTTACGTTCCATCGATTAATGTTCCCCAGTCGTTCAATGTGATTTTTATTCTCAATGTTTTCTTTGCATTCTTAAAATTTTTTTTTTATTGTACTTATAAGGAATTTTTTTTTTTTTGACATAAACTGATTACTGAAAGCTATAACTTAATATAAGTTTTCTGTTGTTTACGTAGTATTTGCTTAACTATGCTTAACAAATGCTAGTATTGACATTGAATTTGATATAGATAACCGTAACAGTACTACCAACCTGGTATTATCGAAATTGAACAACTCTCTAACGCGTTTTTTAAACGAAATCCAACACTGTTCTCTTTTGCTTACAGTGTAATAGTATATAGATATGTGATATGATGGCATGAACTTAAAAGTATTTTAAATTTTTAATTCCAGACTTTATATTAAATGAAATACATACATTCTTCGTATTCGATTTCAAACTAAGTACGTAGGTTAAGCTAATTAGTTGAAGTTATATATTGTTCGGGTATTTCCGCAGCAATAACAGAAGATAACTTTAAGTGAGCCGCAAATGCATTAAACTTAACATAAGCGAGTTGTAGCAAATAATTTCAGTCAGTATTGGAATCAAATTTTAATATCTACAAATAAGTTTTAGTCTAATTACACAAAAATATATATATAATATATATATATATTATATATTTAAAAACATATGTGCTTATAATGTTTTAAAATTATTATAATTCATAAAGTGTTGTGATTTCTCAGGAATAAATGCTGAGCGATTCGCTCAATAATTCCCCAACGGTTTAAGATATACAGCTGAATGTTTTCTGGAGATATTATGTTCATTTATAGATGTTTGTTATTACAAAAAAGTACAAACGACTTAATTTTTTTAGATTTTTTCATATCACTTGTATGTTATATGAAAGTTATTTGCTTTGAAAATTTATTTGTGACACCTAAAATGAGTTACCAAATAAAATAACATTAAATTTAATAAATAAACTATTAATATTATTATTGTATTATATTATTTTTTATATTAATAAAAAAAACAATATAAGGATATTTGTTTACTGCTAATAGCTGTTGCGAAAAAGTGAGTCAGTTATTGTGACACAATAACTCCCATTTAAATAACTCCCTACCCATAAGTTTTTATTTTGCCTTGAAATATTTTTATTTTTAAAATTATTTTCTTTATATTATAAATATTATTTATTTAATATTACTTATTTATTTGAAAATATGCAGAAAAAACCTTTTGGGACCAACTGTGTGCTACTTATAACTTTTGTCTAAATTCACCCCTCTGTTAATTATAGTTTGTGACACAGTGTAACTCCCATTTAAATAGGTCTTAAGCATTAACATTTTATGTGTATGTTATGTTGCTGTTAATGTTTTCATTTCATTTTAACAAATAGCGAGCAAATGAAATTCCAATGCATGCGAATGCGATAAATGAAATGAAAAGGAATTTTTTTTTAAACAAAAATGAAATTGTGTCAGTTACGTCAAAAAGTTGGGGGTGTAAAATGTTAAATAACAGTGAACTGATATGTTACAATCTTTTCAACACATAGCATAAGTAGAAACTTATAAAAGAAATATGTATATTATATGTATATATATATATTTATATAGAACAAAAAAATTTTATAAACATAACAATATAACAATATTAAAGAATATTTAAAAATAAAAAACAAATTTTTTTTTGGTTTAAACAATGTTAAATAATATAAAATCAGGTTGTTTAAATTTTTTTAATATATCATAAACAGTAATTCATAAAAATATGTATATGTATATATAAAAAAGCTGAAAACTTTATAAGACACAAAAGAATTATTGAAAACATTAGAAAAGAAAGAATTTATTATTGCTAAAATTTGTTCTTAGGAACATTTGTTTTTTTTATTAATAATTTTGTTTAGTAAAATTTTTTTTAATAATAATAACATTTTTTATAAATGTTTTTTTAAGTAATAAATTTTTTTTTTTCTCAATAAATTGCATATATATTTTAATAAATTATTTCATCTTTTAACTAATAAATTTTACAATTTGTTTAATATAACAAATTGATTGCCCGCCCATCAAATGTTAGCAGCAGCCGTTATTATGTTATTAATACTGCGTAATATTGCATTCGATTGCAGTAGCTACCCCAACTGCAACAGCTACAAATGCTACAAATGCTCAACTCAACGCCTACTGCTTTCTTTCACTGCTTGCGTTATTATTTCTCGTGTGAAGCAAATAAATTCAAATAACACACGCACTTATACTCTAACAGAGCGACTAACAGTGCTCCAACTACACTAACACATACAAAACCAGTTGCGGTTACCGTTCCCATCACATAACTGCTGCTGCTTAAGTTTTTCCGCTAACGCAGATGCTGACAGTGCTGCGCTGCGCTGTGCTTTGCTGCTCAGTGACGCTGTGCTATGCTGTGCTATTGCAAAATTTCGTCTTATCATTTGGGGCATGTTCGAATTGTTGGCTGCATACGATTCAGTCCTAAATCGACTTTGCAGTGAAACAGTTTTATTCAAGTTTGAACGGATTTTGGCAAAAGCACAAATGCGACTCAACAACACGCAAAGTTGCAAAGCAAACCAAACCAAAGCAAAGCAAAGCAGTTACCAGCCAGCAAGCAAGTAAGCCAAAAACGAAGTGTATTGTTTATTTGTGTGTTTGTGTGTATATATATATGTTAGTATATGTGTGTATGTATGTACAGTGAGTTCGTGTTATATTTGTGCTATGCATCGTGTCGTTAGGTGATGGTGTATCGTGTATCGTGTATCGTTAGTTTAAGGACGACTTGCAAATGTTGCTTTCATATAAGTTCGTTCGATGTTTTATTTCATTTCATTTCGTATCGTTTCATATCGTTTCATATCGCCTATGATTCGTCTATTATCGTTATAATTCGATTCGTATCGTTCGAAGTGTTTCGTTGCTTTTCGTTTATGGTATTGGTATAGGTATATGTGTGTGTGTGTTTGTTGCGTGGGCATGTGTAGAATTGTAAGGATTTAGTGAGCGCTGCCATTTCTGTTGCAGTAGCGGTTACAATAGTTATCAGTGTGTTGCTGTTCCTTTTGTGTGTTTCTTTATCTATGCGTGTGTGTGTGTGTGTGTGTGTAGGCAACTAACGATTCGGGTGCGTTTTTTGTCGTGTGCGGGAATCGCTCGCAATCGTTACATATAAACTTCGTGCGTCGGTAAGGATTTTTGCACTGTTCTAGTTTTGCCGTGTCCTGTCCATTGACGCTTCTGATCCAAAAATTTCGCATTCGTTTTCAGTCTACGATGCGTATTGTAGGTGTCCTGGTGTCCTGGTGATATTACTTGAGTAAAGAAAGAAAAAAAAATCAAAGTTTTTAAAACACAGTTTTTGTCGTAGTTGTTTTTGTTGTTGTTGTTATTATACGAGTTTGCGATTTGAGTTGTTCCATTCTATGGCCGTTGTTGGTGCATAGCAGCAATACAAGTTCAGCGTTCAACGGCGATGGTTTATATACAGTTTGCTTACGGAAATTTAATTCAGTCTGCTTTAAGCATTCAAACGGTGAAATGTGTGTTAGTACGGTTAGTATCGCTAGTACGGTTAGTAGTCCAATGGCAGGGTAACTAACTGACTGACTTTTAACATTGACTGCTTTTGGATCAGATGCTGCAAGTCATTGATGCCGTGCCAGTAGAGCACGGCAGACTTGGCAACGCGTGACACGATACAAAATTATTCGTACTTATATTTTTTTTTGTTTTTTATTTTATTTTAAATAGCATTATAGCACAGTCAGGCAGTTAGTCAGCCAGTCTATATAGCATTTATAAGGTGTCAAGTGTATAATAAACTGTTTATGTATATGTGTGTCAATTAAAAATGTGTAATTTTTTGCATGTGTGGTGACTCGTTGACTTCTCGGTACTCGTTCATTAAATCTTTATATGTCATATGTATTTTAAATTTATGTTTGACTAAATGTTTTTTAATTTATTTATTAAAATAAATAATTTTTTATGCATGGTTGTGAGAATCTGAATCTGTCTTAAGCTTAAGTTTATAACAATGATTAACGACTTCATAACTTAGGCTTTTCTTAATCTTCATCTTTTAATTCAATTAAAATATCTATAACCAACTTTTCAATAATAATTTAATAAATGTTAATGTTTGTAATAAATTGTTTAAATAAGTTAACAAAAAAAAAATGTTTTATGATTCATAAGAAATTATTAAATGTTAAATTTTTGTGATTTTTTCAATTATCATTGAAAACAGCTATCAACATATAAATCAGCAAACCGCAAAATTTATACAAAATTCAAACGTCAAACAAACTCATCAAAATATTCATCAAAATAGCGGCTGAGGCATTGAAGCATCAAAAACCTTTGATGGCCAGCATTGCTACAAAATTACCAAATAACCAAAGCATTTATTGTGGTAAGTCGACAAATATTATTTACTATAAATTAAATATACAAATTCAAATATAGGAAAAAAATTGCATATAATTTTGGTTTCATTAGTTATCGGTTTTGTGGGAAAATTTCAATTTAAAATCAAATTTCAATTAATAAAATAAAAAATTTCATCAAATTTTAAACACAATTATTAAATTGAACAAAAAATTGTGTATGTTTCTCACCAGATAATAAAACATATATTTTTCTTTATAAATTAAAAACGAATTTATTTTATTTCATAATATAAAAAAAAATTTAACTTACTTTATAAAATAGAAAATTTATTTAGTGTATGAATTAGAAAAAAAATTTATGTATTGTAAAATAAAACAGTTTTTACTTTTATTATTAAAATAAATAAGTTTTTACCATATGTATTATATGGAAAGGAATTTATTTTATAAAATAAAATAAAAAACTAATTAATTTTATTTCATAAAATAAAAAATTTAATTCACTTTATAAAATAAAAAATTTATTTAGTGTATGAATTAGAAATAAATTTATGTATTGTAAAATAAAACAGTTTTTACTTTTATTACTTAAATAAATAAGCTTTTACCATTATTCATTATATGGAAAAGAATTTATTTTATAAAATAAAATAAAAAACTAATTTATTTTATTTCATAAAATAAAAAAATTGAATTTACTTTATAAAATAGAAAATTTATTTAGTGTATGAATTAGAAATAAATTTATGTACTTAAAGTAAAACAGTTTTCACTTTTATTATTAAAATAAATAAGCTTTTACCATTATTTATTATATGGAAAAGAATTTATTTTATAAAATAAAATAAAAAACTGATTTATTTTATTTCATAAAATAAAAAAATTGAATTTACTTTATAAAATAGAAAATTTATTTAGTGTATGAATTAGAAATCCAAACCATTTACTATAAAATAATGTTATAAAATAACATTATTTATATATATATATTATATCGAAAAGAATTTAATTTATTTTATAACATAAAGTAGAGTTATTATAACTTCATAACATAAAGAAAATTTTTATTCACTTCAAAAAATAAAAATGAATTACTTTTTTGATCAAATTAAAAATATTTCATATTTCATAAAGAAAAATATATTTTATGTTATAAAAAATAATTTACTTTTAAATTTTATTAAAATAATTTTAATTATATAAAATATTTGTATTTTATTTCAAAAAATAAAAGAAAAATAATTCGTTTTTTAAACAAAAAAGATTTCCTTTAAAAAATTTTATTTTATTTAATTTAATTTTGTTTAGTCGAAATAAAAAAGTATTTATTTTTTTTATTATATGCAAAAGAATTTACAAAAAGGAAAAAAAAAAATTTTTTATAAGATGAAGAATTTCTTTATTTTTATAAAACTAAAATGAATTAATTATTTATTGAAAAAAGAATTTCTTTTTCTAAAACGAAGAATAATTTCTTTTTTTTTATAAAACTAAAATTAATTAATAATCTATTAAAAAAGGAATTTTTTTAACAAAACGAAGAATAATTCCTTTTTTTTTTAACAAATTATAATGAATTAATTTTTGTTCTATAAAACTTGATAGAATTAATTTGTTTTAATAAAATAGAAAAAAATTATATTATTTTTTATGAAATGAAAAAAAAAAATCTTATTTTAGTTTTATAAAATGTTAAAGTAATTATTTTTGCTATAAATAAAAAAGAATTCAAAAATTACTGTTTTTTTTTTATATAAACAGAATTAATTCATGTGAAAAAAAACTAAATTCATTTTTATTATATAAAAAAAATGTTTTCTTCTATATTTGTGTGGATAGTTAAAGTAATTTACAGGTATATTTTTTATTAAAAATTTTAAATCAAATGATAAAGTATTTATTTTGAATAGAAAAGTGATTTCAAAGAAATTTTACTATAAAAATCATATAATGTTCATTATGATATAAAAAAAAAATTTACAAAGTTAGCTGTTTTAAAATATTTAAAAAAATATGGAAACTTTGTTTTTTAAATAAGTACAGGATATTTACTACATAAAACTTTGAATTGGAATTATCTTATAAATTTTAAGATCCCAAAATTATTTTTCACTTTTCATAATTTTTCACAAAATTATTTTTTTATGTCTGATGATAAAATTTTAAATTTTCTCAAAATTTTTAAAAGAATTTCTAAGACACATAATTATGTATTTCATATATACCATAAAAGTACTCAGAAGCAAAAACAAATAGAAGTTTTATAAAATTAAAATAGTAAATAATTTAATTTCGATTTATTTATATTAAAATAAGGAACTTATTATATTTTTGACATAACTGTCTTTAAAATGAAATAAAGATATAATGATATTTTTATTAAAAATCTTAGTTAAATAGTTCCTATCACTACTACTACTTCTTCGATAATAGGAAATCATATTCCTTGAGATAAGTGGCAGTAGTACTACTTCTGCTTCTTATTATTATTCTTATTATTATTATAATTATTAAATTAAAAACATTAAACTAATAAACATTTTAATAATATAAATTTTCAATTTTTTTAAAATTAATAAGCAAACTAAGAAGTATACGTTTGCTCTCTGATTTAGTCCTTAAAAATTTTTCATATTTCAGAAAATTAAAATGTTTTTTAGAATTTCTGAATTTTATGATAGTTTAAATATTAAAATTAAATTCATAAATTCTTTTTCAACTATAATATATAAAAATAATAAGTGATTATTAAATTTCTGATTTTCATTTGCTTGTATAAACTTTTAACTATTATAAACAAAATTATAAGTTAATAACTTATTAACTATTAACATTTAAAAATTTATATTAACATTTTTTGATTCATATAAAAATATTTAAATTCACGAAGTAAATTTTCTTTGATTAGAAAGTTAATAAATACAAAACTTATATATCAATTTTTTTAAAGCATTTCTCTAGTGTTTTTATATATAAATATATTAACTTATTTTTCATTGATTATATAGAAAAAAATCATTTTTGACTAAAATCTATCAAAAACTATCCACTTTCAATTTTTTCTTAAACCCGAAAGTTGATTAAACTAATTTTTCTACAGTTCTCTAATACATAAATAAAAATTATATGTTAACTTATTTTAAAAATACATTAAAGTATGTTTTTATTCCAAAAAATAAAAATAATTCCCTTAATAATTCCGAACCTTTCAGTGTAGAGTAATATATCATTCAAGCAAGTCAACAAAAATGCCGGAAAATTTATTATATATAATAATAAAATATATACATATAAAATTAAAAAATACATAAATAAAATTTTATTAAATATAATGCATTTTAAAATATTTAACTCAACTTTCTTAGTAATTCCTAATGATTTTTAAAATTTAATATATCTCTCTAAAATTTCATAATAAGTAATTTTTATTATTACTTAAATATAGCTTCCATTATTCAAAATGAATTTTAATATATTAATAATTCAGAATAAAATAATAGTTAAAAATATATATATGCAAAATATAAAAATATTATATATTTATATATTAATTATATTATATATATAAATATATTTTACTTGTATTTTGCATATATTTAATTTTAATGTATTTATTTATATTATTTAATTTTATATTTTATTTTGAATATATTTTAAAATATGTAACTGCAGTTTTTTGTAGTGCAAATAAATGTACAAAATTTTCTTACAAATTTTCAATTTTATAGAACTTAGTATATATAATAAAAAATAAAAATAATATAAAATAAATGGATAAAAAAACTGAGTCTAAACAACTCAGTACTCCATAAAGAATATAAAAGTTTTATTAGAGCAATTAAAATAAAAAAATATTTATATAAAAATACATTAAAATAAATAAATAAAAGGATGTATTACATATTAAATTAATTATAATAATTAAACTATATTATTAAAGATATATTTTTTAATATATAATAAAAAATTTTTAGTACTGCAGAATACTTCTTAATATTGTTTTGAAAAAGTATTTCTTATGTATATAGAAGTGGAACTAAACGTTCTGACATTATATTCTAACATTACATTACGATATGTAATCGTTTTCAGGATCTCTTTATTAAAGATTTTTTATTAAAAATTAAAGATTATAAATTACATATCACCAAAAAAATAAAAATATTAAACTAATTAACTTAAGTTCCTTGAGTTTCTAAGGACAACCATTAAAGTATTCGACAAATTATGAATTAAAAATAAAAATTTATAATTATATTAAACCAATTTAAATTGACCTAATGCCCCACAAAAAGCTTTCAAATTAAAATAATTTACTTAAAGTGATTTTCAAGTTAATTAAATTTAAAATTTTTTTTCCAAAAATATTCCTTTACATATTTTTAAGATATTTTAAAACAATAACCATATACTAAACTTGCTTAAAATGTTTAAATTTAAATTTTTTAATAGTATACAATACCATAGGTATTATTTCTTATAATTTAATTAAATAAATATGTACGTCACTTCACAATTAATTATTATTATTTTATATTATTATATATATTATTCACCTGACAGATTCTTACAAGAAAATTTGGTGGCTCATGTAGATCTGAGATTTGTACTAAAATCTTTGAGGAATTTAAATCCTTTCCTTAACAATTGACACAACTCCATTACTTATTCATTGTATTGCAATTTTTATTTTATTTATAAGAAAAAACTTCTCCGGATTTAAAATAAAAATGCTAAGTTCAAATATAGACTATCTTATTGCTATATAGAAAACAATTGATATATATATTTCAAAATATATATGAATGAATAGTCTGTGGCCATATTACTCAATATTATTTGATTCCTCATTATTATCAATATCCTTCATCAAATTCGATTTACTTCACTTAGTGTCTACTCGTATTTAGAATAATTGAGCATTATAGTCTCAAATCAAGAATCCTAGTAGTCCGTACTTATTCCTGTTATTGGAATAAATTTGATAATAATAATTTTTCAACAAAGTCTTATTCATGTTAGT